GAGTTAACAATAAAAAAATTAATTAAGAATAATAAGTATAATATTTAAAAAAAATAAAAAAAAAATAAAATAAACAAATCAATCTATCAACCTACGGATTGATTTTAACCCGACTCGTGATCTATACGAATTGATAATACAAATTATCTATATATTGTGACTCAACTTGTGAAAATGAGTTAAGATCGGATTGACGGGTTCGGGTGTAATTTTGCCCGTCCACTTCTCATGACTCAATTATTGTTTCCTATAAAAATTAAAGGAAACTCGGTAACTTCCTGAGAAAGCAAAAGACGAAAAAACCAAATTGAAGCCGCCTTATTTTTTCCCCGCGATCCAACGGTCGGCATCAAGACAGATTCGGTAAAACTCGATTTAATTCTCCACGGTTGATCTCCAATATCAAGTGGTCCCCCCTGTTCAACAAAAATAAATGCCCTGAGCCCCCCCTCTCCAATCGGTTAAAACGTATCTTTCTATTCTGAGCCAATTAAACCTGGAACGTCCATTCCCCCAATCCAACGGTCCACAAACACCCGCGAACCCCCCAAACTAGTTTCCACTCCTCAAAGTGCCGTTTGAGGTTCAAACCTTTCTCAAACCCCCCCACCCCCTAACGTTAAAACCAACCGCTACTCGCCGTTAAGAGACTTACTCCCACTTTGAAAGCCTCATGAGTCATGATTTGCTTGCGCTTCTATGGAGATTCTTTTTTTCACACAACACTTTTTTAAAAAATATAAATTTGTAAATTTTAATTAATTTTAAATAATAAAAATTAAAAACTTACTATTAAAGTAAACTACAATATTATCAAAGAAAACTTTAAATTGTGTTTATTTGTCATTAATTGACTCATTGTTTTAAAATATCATGATTTAAATTGTATTTAAAATTATTATAAAATATTATAATTGTATTTGTAATTTTTAATATTTTATTATAAAAAATTATATTATTATTTATTAATTATTTTTTTTAAAAATTTGATACATTATTGTAATTAATAAAATAGGTAAAGTATTAATTAAAATTAATTTAAGTATAATAAATTAATACTTTTAATAAGATATCATGAAAGCATAGTAGAAAAGCACTCAAACCCAACCTTAGGCAGTTAGACACGTAACCTTTCCGAGACGGTACTTAACGGCGGCGTCGGCGCAAATATATTCCGTTTACGTTTATTTTTTTTATTTTTTATTTTTTTAATTTCTAAAATTTTCTTTTTGGTACCCTCTGCTTTTCTCTCCATTGTTTCAACGGGCGAGGATTTTTTCGAAACCAAGAAAGCACCGAAACTCGGTTTCTCCTCCGGCGCAAAAGAGGATTTCCCGTCGCCGAGCTGGAGTTTGATTCCCGCCAATTGTATAGAGGAAGAGGTGAGTTCAGTTTAATGAATTGGATTTTTTTTTTTTGTATTTTTCTTTCTATTTTTTGCTTTTTATTTTTTGGAACGGCGTTCTAACTGTTTTTGATCATGTGATGGGTTGTTTTTGAGTCCGAACTGGACCTGGTTCGTGGAAGATTTGTTGATTTTCTGGGTTTTTTTCATCTTAAACCCTAGAAATATGTTTAAGTGATCGTTGTTATCGGTGGTTTGGACTCGGGTTGATCTGATTAGTGAATTTAAGATCTGGGCTTTTTGTGTTTCTATGTTTGGCTGTGGGGCGGTGGGGAATTTGTTAATAGGAGTGGGGTTTTGTAGTGATTTTCAAAGGGTTACTAAAATCTGTTCACTTATTTATTTGTTTTGATTCAGTTCGTTGATGTTATTGGGAGTTTGGGTTTTGGATATGATTGTAGGATGAGATGGATGAATCGAAGATGGAGGAGTGTTGTCTTGAGAATAAACAATTAACCACTGCATCCAGCTCTTCTGTATCTTTATCTGAAGGCAGCGGTAGTGCTGTTGTTAAGTCCCCAGCAATATCTAGCCCAGTAGCTACATCACCCACGCATCGGTATGATCTTTTTAACAATTTCTTTTTCTTCTCTTATTGCCCCATATCCTTCTATTATTTATTTATTTTTCCTGAATAAGTTGTTGACGCTCGCACACCTCTTTTTTTGAACTGTTATCTGGTTTATGATGCTGGAATTTACTATGGAATCACTTTGTTTTGCTTCTAATTAATTTTAAATAATCTTTTCTTTGCTAAGTTAAGCTATGTGGTATGGAATATGCAGGAGGACAAGTGGCCCCATTAGGCGAGCAAAAGGTGGCTGGACTCCTGAGGAGGTAATTTATTTTCTTGTTTAAACGTATATGTATTTTGATGTTCTTCATCCGTTCTGTTAGATGCTGTTTATGTATTCAACTTCCTTGAAGGTTTTATACCTCTCCTTTTTCATAGGCATTAACAACCTGCATCCCTTTGTTGCAGGACGAGACATTAAGAAATGCAGTAGCGGCATATAAGGGGAAGAGTTGGAAGAAAATAGGTTTCCCTCTTTCATTAAAAGATCCTCTTCTATTATTTATTTGACTATCCTTTTTTAGGTAACCACGGGTCTCTTGGGATGATTAGTTGTATTTGAACCCTATACAAACCATGGCTGAAGTATAAAATATAGATTTGGGGGGTGTATAATTGCGATGTGGCAACACCTAAGACCATGATCATCTGTGGCTAGGATAAATATATTCATGTCTGTTATGTGTTTAATATCATATAGAACATAAGAAGAACTTTTTGATGTACTATTGTTATAATAATAACATTTTTCTTGAATTCTTGCTTGTCTTACATTTATGTGTGAATTTGGTGCAGCTGAATTTTTTCCTGATAGATCAGAGGTGCAGTGTCTACATCGATGGCAGAAGGTCCTTAATCCAGATCTTGTTAAAGGACCTTGGACTCAAGAGGTTGGCTTTTAGCATCTATCATCCTTCAATGCAGCATGTCCTTGCAGATTATTATTGAAGCAACGAACTTCTTGTGACCTTTTTGATTTCAGGAAGATGATAAAATCATTGAACTTGTATCAAAATATGGACCCACAAAATGGTCTGTCATTGCCAAGTCGTTGCCTGGACGTATAGGGAAACAATGCCGAGAGAGGTAATGTTAATGTTAAAGTAGATTGCTTTGATCTTCTGATGCTGCTCCTAGATTTTCTTAAATGAGTTTTATTTGCCATCCTCTGTAACAGTCCTCTAAATAATTGAAGTACTAAACAATCGCCTAGTTTTCCCACACTTAAACAGTTCACTGGCTTTTGTTTAAGCATGTTATCTACTTACTAAAGAAATGTCCTGCAGGTGGCACAATCATTTGAATCCAGATATAAAGAAGGATGCTTGGACGTTAGAGGAGGAATTAGCCCTCATGGATGCACATCGTACATATGGGAACAGATGGGCAGAAATAGCTAAGGTTTTACCCGGAAGGTATCATTCTTGTTATGTTCTTCGAACCATAGTTCTGGAACTGCAATCCTTAAGCTATGCCTTGAATTGTTGATCAATAGATGTCATTAAGTTAGTTTGTCATTTGAAGAATTTGAAAATAACTGTTTGAGTAAGCTAATGCATATTGTTTATCTAGGACTGACAATGCAATAAAGAATCACTGGAATAGTTCCTTGAAGAAAAAGCTAGATTTCTATCTGGCTACTGGGAAGCTTCCCCCAGTAGCAAAAAGTGGTCTCCAAAATGGCAGCAAAGATATGACTGGATCTGCTACAACGAAAGGTTTGCTTGTTTGCTCTAATAAAGAATCAGATTCTACTGCTCAAACATCATCAGGGACTACAGATATATGCAAAATGGAGGAAGATGGAAAAGATCAGTTAGATTCCTCTACTCCGGTTCCAGATGCAGCTGCTTCATCATGTGTTCCTGATGAATTTGCTGATGATGAAGGTGCAGAATGTAGGCAACAGTCATCCAATGCCAAACCTTGCTGCAATAATGCAGAGTCAGGACCAAGGTTAGAGAATCATGCAATCAGTTCTGAAATTGTTGAAGATAAGGTTACTGGGCTGCAAGTTCAACCTGGCACTCCAACTTATGGTTCCTTGTATTATGAGCCACCTAGGTTGGACAGTTGCATTTCATTAGATTCAGATCTTTTAAGCAAATGCAGTTTGCAGCATCACTGGAGCTCTAGTCCTATTGTGTCACCTATTTATTTCTTCACTCCACCTTGTACCAAGGGCAGTGGTTTAAGTGCCCAGAGTCCTGAATCTATTCTTAGAATGGCTGCCAAGAGCTTCCCCAATACACCTTCCATATTTCGAAAGAGAAAGGTGGGAGCTCAGTCACATCTGCTTCCTAATAAAGTGGGGAAAGTGGATGTGAAAATAGTCAAGGAGAGGATCCAATTGTTGAGTGAACATGAAAGACACAGCAACAGTTCAGAGAAGGCTCAGTTTCATGATGCAAATTCATCTGAGAGTCCTGTTTGTCAAGGTAATAGCAGTATTGGGCTTAACACCAAGGCTTTTAATGCCTCTCCTCCCTACAGGTTAAGATCCAAAAGGAGTGCAGTTTTTAAATCTGTTGAGAGGCAACTTGAGTTTAGTTTTGATAAAGAGAAATCTGATGGTCATAAAGAAGCTTCAGAATTATCTATGAATGGGAGCTTTGTCATTGAAGATTGCTTGCAAGCAACAAAGATGGGGATCACCTAGGGCACAAACTGTAAGTTTTCGTGTTGCAACTTTATACTCTCGATCTGTTCCTTTATTAGCGTGATTGAGTGATTATTGTTCCATCATATTAGTCATTAATGCTTGTTGGTCAAAAACATATCTGTTGGTTGCTGTCTCTAAGACTTTGGATTTAGTACATCCCCATGACTAAGCTTTGTTTTTGACTTTTAGTTCCTGATTTATTGAAATAGGGAGTGGAGAGGCTGGAGAGATAATCTTGAAGCTGCCACAGGCATCGGTTTTATTTTTGTTGGTGCTCATCCCAGACAAATGCGCCTTCAATGCCATAGCTTCATTGTTTCACAGATATAGTAGCTCCATGTTTTGTAGGCATGGTAATCGTCCGTCATTATTAGGTATACTGAGTTCCTTTGCATCATTGCAAACAGCAGTAGGCTTCTGGTCTATGTAGAATAAAAGAGGGAAGACTCCCTATCCCTCATGAAGAATACTGACCATTCTGTACAGAGCCCTTTTTCTGACTGAAGAAAATGCATGGAAAAATCTCAAAGTCAGACATGTAGTTAACTTCCCCACCATTTGTAACACTGATAATTTAGGGAGCAGCAACAGAGGTAACTCTTACTGCTAAAATACGTTCTATTTAACTAAAAGGTCTTTTGTTTACATTATTACCTTTTTCTCGGAGATGAATAGAAAATTGATTTTACACGATTTCTCTTTTACTGGACCTCTGTGTAATTAATTGACTTCCATTTCCATGTTATCTTGCCTGTACGCTGCTGCCTAAGAGGGTAGCGACATGGAACCAGTTATATAATAGGCAAAACCCTATTTTAAGCTTTTTTAACTAACCCCTTTTTTTATTTTATATATATATAACTAATTGTGGTTAAAGTCACAATTAATTTGTTAAAGCTACATAAATTATATAATTTTAATTTTAATTTGACTACTAAAAATAGATAATAATTAATAGAATAATTGATATTTACTATTTAATGAATTAAAATTACCCTGGATTTGCCATTTCTGAAAGTTTAAAGTTCGAAAATTGGCTTCAACTTTTGGTGATCTCTTGGGAAGTTCTTGTGGCACTTGTCAGCTTCTAGGTGCAACCATACTAGTACTAATGCATTGGATTCCATCAGAATTCGAAGTTGAGCATGTGTGGCCGAGAATGGTATTAGGGTGGGTGATTTCTTGGGAAGTCTTTGTGTTGCACTCCTTGTCTTTCTTCCTCAAATTCGTTAATTTTTTAAAATGACTTGTAGAGTTAGCATAAAGATTTGTTCTCACCGGTATGAGTGGGGGTTTGAACTCTGATTTTTTCTCCTCACCCCTCTTCATGAGGGTTTTAAATTAAAGCTCATTAAATGACAATTGTGTGTTAAAAATTTTTAATAAATAATAAGTAAATATTATTTTATAGGTCAAATTCATGATTCAAAATTGTAGACTCTACATCTAAAGAAAATTAATTCTCTTAAATGCATCAAATCAATGTTGGGAAGTATGTTTTTTAAAATTGTTTAAAGAGAGATTAATTTTAAGATGTGTAAAAGTTAATTTGAAAATATCTTAATTGTAAATACAAAAAATAAAATTAAAATCAATTTATAAAAAGATATTTTAAGATATTATAGCAACTAATCATTTAAAAAAAATTATAAACTAATATAATATTAAAAAACTATGTAATCATAATAAATATGATTATGGTCATAAATAGTTGTGGGCAGAAAAATCCAAAAAAAGAAAAAAAAGAAAAAAAAAGAGAGGCTGAAACTGATCAAAATCATAACCAATGGGTAGGGTGTGGTTAGGTTTTGGATTTTTTATAACTAAAAATCAAATTGAACTAATTTTAAATAGTTTAGGATTTGGTTATTAAGTTTAAAAATAAAAGAAAAAACAATGACTAAGGTAAGCATAATTAAAAAGTCTAACTTAAAACCTTTTATATAAAATTTTTAATAATTTTTAATTTTTTTTAGGTTTTCTCTTTTTTTATTAAATTATTTATTTATTTGAGTGATTTTTAGTAATTAAAATTAATAAAATAATAATTTTTTTAAAAAAATTATTAAAAATATAAAAATAATTTTTTCGATTAAAATTAAAATCGAACTCAAATAGTTATTTTACAAAATGTAACTGAAACTAATAAAAATTAATTTTGATTAATTAATAATGATTAAAATTTAATATCTAAAATTTTAATTAATTAATATTTCAATTTTAATTACAACCAAAACCGAATCATGTCCACTTGCAGCCACTACAAATTTTTGTATGTAAGCCCCTAAATTAGTTTTGAGGCAAATAAACCTCTTAATTCCTGTAAAATAGCAAAAAAGGAGAAAGTTAATAATTGAACTTTCAACAAAAAGGATATTAGTTAACATTTCATTGGCTATCATGCTTCCACTGTACCTATTTCCCATACAAGTAGATTTTTAAATTAATAATTATGTGAAATATATGTGCCACACCAAGGTGTATGTGACATACAGTTTTGTTAATCATTTTTGGGTGCACATTTATTACAAACATATAAACTATCGAATCATAAAGTTAAGATGTGTTTGATTAATCTTTAAGTTTAATTAAAACTAAAAACTTAACAAAGAAAATAGAAATCAATTCGGTTACAGGGTAAGAGCAACATTTTAGTTAACTGTATTAATAAAAAAAATTTAAATTAAAAATTAATTATTTTTTCTTTTCACTTTTACAATTGTATATACTATGCATTTATTATGTATATTTAATTCTTATTTTTTATTTACCATTAAAACATTTTCAGATCAATTTTTAAATACTTCAAAATTAATCTTTTTCTAAAAGATCTTAGCATATCCTACATCGATATAATGCATTTAAAAAAATTAATTTACTTACATGTTAACCTTAATTCTTTCATTTTAGAATATTTCTTAAATACTTTACTAAAGATAATTTGCGTATATACAAATTGAACTGCTTTACATTGGAGACAGTCACAATGAGACTCCGATGAAATATGAAAGATTCCGATGAAACATGAAATCTATCCTTTACTGAGAGGAGGAGAAGACATGCACGAAACTAATTTTAACGAAAAAAAAACAGGTGCCAGAGTCATTGCAAGGATTGATGCCTGACGATGTACAGTACAAGATCCGAGAATCACTAAAGCTTGCAACTCCAAGTTGTTGTGTGCTCTTGAATTCTTTGAAGTAGCTACTACAGCCATGCGATAAATTGAAATGGAACCTCCAGAAAATCCTGTAATGTAAACCAGATATCAAGGCAGGAGGAAGATAAAATCCTTAAAAAAAAAGAAAAAAGGGGGCAGGAGGAAGATGTTTGGTACATAAAACGGAAATGAGATGACGGGCAATTGAAATAGTATGATTTCATTCATGCTTACGACAGATGATGACAAAAAGATTATGACCCAGTAAATATCCAAACCCAGAAATTGAAAATAAATCTCCTTACTGACCAGGAAGCCAAGGAGCAGGAACGGATCCTTGCTCCAACACTTCTGCGGCTACGCAAGTAAATTTTATATGCTTTGCAGCAACAATTGATGGTGATGAGTTATGCTATTGTAAATTGCAATCAGTGAAACATAAGGCTCCATGTATCATGGTTTCCTAGGGAGAGAAAATTTCATCCCTTCCCCCCCTTTTTTTCACAACACTCTACATTACTGCCACTTGAGCAGTGAAGGCTTGTCTTTAATGTTGAAAGAATTACTGCTATGCCTTTTTGAGAACCAAAATACTCTTGCTAATAGGACTAGATACAGGAAAAATGAGCAGGGTTTTGCAGCATACATAACCAAATTACCTGATATCCAGCTGTTTAGCTATCCACTATAATGAATAATTTATATGCCCATCAAATTGCCCCCTTTTTAACCCCTCTACCTTTCTTAGACAAGGAGATAGAATACCAAGAAAGCTGCTTTTGAATGATTTTATAACTGAAAAGGAAAACTGATATCAATGGAACAGTCATACCAAACTAACCTGATCAGCAGTATATACACAGCTGCATCATGCCGCCCACACTTTGATCCAACTTCCTTAGTTCACACAAAAGTATATGAATACCAACAACCTTCAGATTTGCACAACCATTTCCCACTTGTGAGTGATCTGAGTCAACCTTCATTTATTAGCATAGAAAAAACAGAATATTTAATTAGAAGTACTTGCATGCAAAACTTGAAAAATAAAAGAAATAAAAAAAAAGGAAAAAGGAAAAAGGAAAAACGCACCTTGAGTATAAAACCAAACTAAAACCACATTAAGGCATCCATGATAGTTTGGCCAAGAACCTTCAGGCTTTGATCAAGGCCATGAGAAGCAACCTACAAAGCATTAAAGATGGTTCATTACGAATATAAAAATGATATCAGAATAGCAGTCAAGAAGAAGATTTCGTGCTACTATAGATTGTCAGTACAATGAAAACAGATCAAAATGTAACATTTTCTAATTACCATATAGGTCAGTGCAGCATAGCGTTCCTCATTCAAGTATAGTGGTTTTCCCCTACCCATTCCATTATCCTGCAACAAAGATAAAATAGATCAGTACAAAGAAAGACAAGTAAAAGAAAAAGGCTGTAGAACATCATTCATTGGGGCAAAGAGGCCAAACATATGAATTCCTGATTAAGATCTGACGTCTCAAGCAATAATCCCAGGAACTTAAATGAACTATACAAATAACCTTTTTCTAACTGTACTTTATCCAAGAGAAAATGGTATCAGCTAACCAAAGTTCTGAAGGAAAAGAGTAGAGACTCAAATGGTGCATCAAGGAGATTGACAATTCATCATTTAAATTTCTTCCTTTTAAAAAAAACCTCAACCTTTTGAAGCTAGTGAACAGAATGATGCAATCTGGACTTATAGGAACAAAGTCACTGGGTTCAACTGTCATTGTAACTTCTGTAAGTTGGGGATGAGGGTGAAAAAACTTCAGAAATAGTCTCTGTGTGCACATATTCACATGCATCCAACCCATATGCAAACAAGCTGCTAAAATGAGAAGAGGAGTACCAGTCGCAAGAGACCTAAGAAGCTCAAGGACTTCTCTAGCTTAAAACATTGAAGATACTGGGTGGTTGGTGCCAGTGAAAATTATTAGAATATTTAGTTCTTCCCCACTTTATCATATGAGGTTGGTTACATGAGCAATAACGTCTTTTTTCTTTTTTTCCTTTTCTTTGGTGCACTGGGAATTGTGAGCTTGGTTGGTAGGAAAAACAAAGGATAAATCACCATGAATAAAATGACTTGCCTCTTCACCAAATGCATCCAGATAGGGAGATGGCCAGACAGAACGATGTGAACATCTTTGTAGCTGGATTATTGTTTTCTAATTGCAACAAAACAATTAGCTGTTTTCACAAGCAGCAAGTACAAAGGACGAACTCAGGTGAAATATGAGAGAAAGCGATATAATTGATCATACCCTTATCAACAGAAATATACCAATTCCAGCACCACAGGACATGGCATGGGCAGAGCAGCCCCTTTCCCTTGAGAAGAAAAAATTTGAGAAAATAGGAAAGCAAAACATAAGATTTCCAAGTTAATGTTAAGAATGACATTCCAGAACAATCGAAAGTAATTCTATATGTTAACCAAAATATAAGTAAAGAAAATAGATGAGCATGAACCTGCAGCATGACTTCCAACTTGAATTGCATAATTTGCCACATAACAGGCACAATGCAGGCTCCTCTAGTGGAACTTTGCAGTCAGGGCACTGCTGTTTTATGTACCTGATGAAGCATATATACTTGCTTAACAAATAAAGGCTTTTGTGATTAAGGACCTACCTAACTGTATCTCTCAAAGAAAAAGAAATTATTTAACAGACCTTTGCAACAAATCCTGATAAACATGGGGCAGATTCATCAAGTAAAATGGAACTGCAGGGTTGCAGTGGAAAACACTTTGAAAACAACGAACTTCACACTCATGGAAATGGTAGAGCCATTTCAGTGTAAGTGATCTTAGGTGTTTGTCATTGAGAACAACATCCAGAGGAGGAATCTTAAACATATTCTCCAGCTCTTGGACTTCGATTAACTCCACCAGAGCACCTTCAGTGATATCCATCATATCATTAGTTGCATGAGATGATATATCATATGCCTTATCCTTGTCACAGAATGGTGATGAGATGGAAGAGCTCAGCAATTTCCATAGCAAAGCACACCTCCGCAAATAAGGGAAACTCATTCTACGAATCATATCTTTAATATCACAAGAAGGGTCAACATATTCAGAAAAAAAATACTTCTGAGTACATTTAGAATCTCTCAGAACTTTGCAGATGTCAGTAATTAGACAATCATGAAGACCTAGCTCAGTGATCTTGTAGCAGTTTTTTCCCAAACATGTAATTACTGCCTGCATCCAGCATGTCAAAGTCAGGAAACTAACTTTGTAAAGTAAAATTTCAGTGGCTAAATTGGGAGAGAAACAGACCTGAACTATGGAAACAGCATAGAAAATATGAACAATGGATAACAAGGACTCCTTGCACGATATAAATGGGCATGGGAGACAATAGAGAACCCACATTAATGATGAAAAAGGATCATGGGCAAGAACAGGATCAGTCACTCGATTCCAAAATTGAATATCAGGATATGTGACTTCTGCCTTATCATGATTCAACATATTCAGAAAATCACCTGCAAGTACAGCATTGGTCAGACCAAAAATAAAACTAATAGAATCTATACAATAAAATTTATAAGTTTATTGATAACAGATTCCAGAGATTAACCATCTCAAACATAATCATGTTGTCCATATAATGGTGATACTCTTTTGAATAATTAGATATTCGCTTCTAAATAAACACCCCATTTAGAAGCCCTACTTCTTCAAACTTCTAATATATTTCAGCAGACCCAAATATCTCTCATTCTCCCCTGACTCACTCCCCAAAAATTAAGGGGAGCCACATTACTCAGCATAAGAACCTATCTTGCCATTTCTGAAAGGGTGGGGGACCAAGGTTTTATTAGTTTGAGTTCAAATTTCTCCATTTCATTAAACCAAAGGAAAATCCATCACACTTCAGGAAATTAATCTGTACATCTTAATAGAAATGCCGTAACAACTTCTAGAATTTGCACAAATGTTTTACATAAATTTAAATGGTCAATGACTATTTAATCTCAACAATAATGATAACAAATAAAATAGCAAAAACTATACCTTGTTGATGTTTTATGCTATGATAATTAGAGGAAACTCCAGAGCAAATAGACTGAGCAATGAGCTGAACACCTCTAAATCTTTGAAGCATGTGAAGAGAATTTCTGCTTTTCATGTTCTGGACAACTTTTAACAACAAGGATAAAATAAATCTACTTGATGACTTGAATTCCTTATACAATGACTCAAGACTGTAATTAGGAGCCATAGAAGCTCTTCCACTTCGAGCAGCAACTTCAATTGACATTAGGGAATACTTTAGAGTGTCCCAAAAAATAATTGGGTGGCTTAGTCTTGGAGATTCTAAGAGCTTATCCTGTTTTATTGGAAGGTACATCTTAGAGAGCCTACGAGAAACAAGTTCAAGATTCTGACTACTTGTTTCCTTCATCTGGAAGGGAAGAGCTTCTAGCATATCTGGCCTCGCGACCACATTAGCAGCAGATTGTATGAGAGACAAGGCTTGCTGAAGCTGAAAAGAATAGATTTCTGCACTCGATGTACATAAAAGGCCAGCAACAGGTGTTGAATCAATTTTGGAGGTCAGTGGCTGCACTTCAGCCTTGTGAAAGTTCCCATGCAGTGCAGGCAAAACAGAATTTGCAAGTTGACGGCATACGGGGCAGAGAAACTCTCCCTGACAAATAAGTGTTAGAACCACATAAAATACAGGGAAAAAAAGGATGGACAATGAGTTGGGAACATATGTTACCTGATCTAGGTCCAGAATATGTGCTCCTTCATAAATGCTCCTTCTGACATGTCTGGGTACAAAGAACAGGAAGATATCCTAAGCATTTATTTACACTACACAGACAAATACACATGACTGCATTCTAAAACTTCTGAGAAAAGGTGCACATAGGGATACAAACTTTTTTGGTTTCTAAATAAGGTAGTAAACTTTCAACCTTTTTTATTTAAGGATGCTAACTTTGCATTTTTTTCTATTTAAATAGAAAAAATGACTAAGTTTGTATCCTATCTCAACCTTTTCTCTAAACTGCTCAACAATAATAGTTAATGGTTAAAAACCCTTCAGAGTGAATTATCTAGACACCTGTCAAGAGAAAGTATGGAAACAACAAAAGAAAGCCATCCAGGAGATAAACCCAGGATTCTTTTACATATTTTCAGGGCCCAACCAGTGTTGCAAAAACCATTCTTAGGCACTGCCTTGCCTGGGTTCTAGGTGATGGAGCTAGGCATTTTTAGATTTTTCTGTTTTATTTTGGTATTTTTTTGCAGGAAATAAAAACACCAGGTGCTATACAGTGACCCAATGGCTAGCCACGGCCTACAGCCTTCTGGACTGAACTAAGAAAATCAAGGTTAGAGAAGATAGTTAAAGGCTCACAGTGACACTCATAAGCAAGGTAGTAACAACTCAAAGGCACTTTAATAATTCTCATGATCTCATCCACATGGGAAGGATCCACCCAAAGACTTGCCGTCCATAACCAGTTACTTTTAATAGACTTATTTACTTTAGCAAGTTCCCATGTTCAATTTCTTCTATCTTACAATGATTCATCACTTGTTCTCATCTTGTAATCTAGAATCCTGCATATTGCCTGTATGCTAATACACCACTAACAATCTTTGAGAACAATGCCCTAGAATGTTAAAGCATATCTCAGATAGATATCAATTAGTCTTCCCAGATCTCTTTACGAGAGAGCCAAGAATAGCATTCCAGAACTTAAATATTGTTGTCAATGTCTAACCATATGAACAGAGGCTCTGAATCTATCTAGGTATCTAGAATTGCATGTTTGGCTCTTGCTGAGAAGTAGAAATAAATAACTTGTATTCCTATTTTAATATAAATTTCAATTCATTGTCCTGTAAAAGCATGGATTAGTTCGTAAGGCATTTTGACTCCTCAATATGGCAGATATCTTTATAGCCAAACAAGTTCACCCCAGTGTTGTCAATAGCGGCCATAGCGGCTGCTATAGCGGCATAGCGTAGCGGCCAGCTACAGCCGCTATGACAAATTTTCATAGTGTAGCATTTCTTCAATAGCGGCTGCTATTACCGCTAATAGCGGCCGCTATTACCGCTAATAGCGGCCGCAATACAAATAGCGGATAGCGTGTTAACCCCATATCTAAAGTTGAAGTTAAAAATTTTTAAGGTTAATTATGTCTTTCCAACTTTTCTATTTATAAATTAAAGAAAGAAAACCCTAAAAGCTAAAAAAACTCATCGCCTCTGGTCTCGTCCTGTGCATGTTTGGTCTTCCGACTCTTCTCCTCCCGACTCTCCTCTCAACTCTCCTCCGACTTTTCTCCTCCCAACTCTCCTCTCGACTCTCCTCTACACTTTGCACAACATCTGGTCTCCTCTTAGTCCCCATCGGTCATAGCAAGAATGCAAGACAACTCTCACAGAGCTTACCCTTTCACACCTCCTGTAACTGGAGTTACTGGACTGCGATTGATCACTGATCTGTACACCATATCATCTCCAATTTCAGGTAATCTTTCAAGTAAGCACTGATTTTACTGGACAGCGATTAAGCATTTTATATATATATATATTTTTGGCTTGGTTCTACTTCTGCCAGTGCCGTCTCTCTCTTTTTTCTTTTTTCCTCTTTTTTGACACCAGAACAAAAAGTTGGAATTAGAAATAGAAAGACATGAAAGCATGTTGCAATTTTTTTTTGTGCGCCTCTGTTTTTTTTTTCTTTTTTTTTATTGGTATTGAAGCAAGTTTATATTACAATTTTTTTTTCTTTGCTTGGTTTTGCTTCTGCAAGTGCGCCTCTGTTTCTATTTTTTTTTTCTGTATTGAAGCAAATTTATATTACAATTTTTTTTTCTTTGCTTGGTTCTGCTTCTGCAAGCAAGCCTCTGTTTCTATTTTTTTTTTTTTGTATTGAACCAAGTTTATATTACAATTATTTGTTTCTTTGCTTGGTTCTGCTTCTGCAAGTG